TCCTCTCCTCTCCTCTCCTCTCCTCCTGAGATTTCTAGTACATGGATAGGCTGCTGGTGGAAACCAGAGCACAGTGAGGAACAGAGACTTAGAAATCAAACTCGAGTTGTTGTTAGTTTCCATTGAGTACTTTCCAACTCATGACAACCTTACAGAACAAGTGTTACTGAGTCCTGCATCATCTACATGATTGCTAGTGTGCTCGAGTCCACAGTTGCCGTGGAAGTCACTCCATCTTACTGAGAGCTTCCTTTATTTTTGCTGGCCCTCTACCAAACATGTTCTTTTCTTGTGATTAAGTTTTCCTGTTCAAAAAGAAACAAAATGCAGTCTCATTGTCTTTGCTTTTAGGGAACATTCTCATCGTATTTCTTCTCAGGCTGAATTGCTTGTTCCTCTGGCAGTTCATAATATATTCAGCACTTTTTGTCAACACTACAATTCAAAGATGTCAATTCTTCTCAGATATATCACAGTATATATATTTACAGTTCATAGTATATTCAGTACTCTTTGTCAACACTACAATTCAAAGATGTCAATTCTTCTCAGATCACCCTTTACCACTGCCGAGCTTTTTGCATGTGTGTGAGTCGAAGGAAAAGACACATCTCACCATTTTTAAAACTTGAGAGAGGCCTTCTGCAGCAGATTTGCCCAATACAATATGCCATTTGATTGTCCTGAGTGAGTTTACTTCCCTGGAATAGGTGCTGGTGGGGTAGTGCCCAGGGAGTTGCAATGCGAATGCAAAGGCTGAGCCTCTCTTGGTGGTTTGAATCCACCAGTGTCTCAGGGGAAGAAAGACAAGGCATCTCCTCCTGTGCAACTTATGGCCTTGGAGACTGTGAGTTGGGTCTGACTTGATGGCAATGAGTTTTGAGTTTGAATTTCATGGTGTTGATTGTTGATCCAAGTAGAAGGAAATAAATGATAACTGAAATTTTGTCTCCATTATCAAGATGTCTGGTAGTGCAATAATGTAAACATTGGTCTGTTAGTGGAAAAGGTGGCAGTTTTAACCCCCTGAGTCATCCCCTGGGAGGGAGTGGAGGCAGTCTGCTGCTGTAAAGGTTTACAGCTTTGGAAGCCCCGCGGGGCAGTTCTGCACTGACCACAGCACTGCTGCACATAGGAACTGACTCGGCAGCAGTGGATTTATATCATGATGTTCATCTGCACTGCTGGGAGACTTTGAATATTTATTTTCATTTTCTGTTCTTAAGGCTATATAGTCTCTGATCTTCACTGGTAAGTGCTTCACTTTTTCATTATTTTCAGCAAGCAGGCTCGTGTCATTTCCATACTGTGTGCTGTTAGTGAGCTCTTCCTCCGATCTTGATGCCATGCTCTTCTTCACCTCGCCCGGCTCCTGGAATGACGGAGCATCCACACGGAATTGGGTGGTCTCTGCCTCCAAGCAGCTCTCTGGCTGCAGTTCTCCCAAGACAGGCTCTTTATCCTTTTGGCAGCTCCTGGTGTGTTCGATACCTTTCCTCAACACCGCAATTCAAAGGCAGCAATTCTTCTTTGATCTTCCTTATTCTTTGTCCAACTTTCACACGTATAGGAAACGACTGAAAATACCATGGCTTGAGTAATACACACCTAAGACTTTAAACTGACACCTTTGAATCTCAGCACTTTAAAGAGGGTCCTTGACAGATTTGCCCAGAGCAATACATCTTTTGGTTTTTTTGACTGCTGCTTCCTAGACCTATCTTCCTGTCAGTTGGCTGGGTACCTGTGGCCCAAATTTCCTGGCACGGCCTGGTGAGCATGTTCAGGGCTGCATCTGTTAGTTGGAAGATGTACATTGATATCCCATCGATTCCTGGGGCATTATTATTATTATTATTTTTTTTTTTTTTTTGCCAGTGCCTTCAGTGCAGCTTAAACTTCTTCCCTCATCAACATTGCCTCTTTATCCTATGCGACTTCCTAAAATTTTTCAGCATTGGCTGATTCTTTTTGGTACAGTGACTCCGAGTATCTGCATATTCCTGTGATGGAGTTCTTCTTTTGATGCTTCTTGAAGGGTGATTAAAAAAAAAATCTTCATTCCTGAAAGGTCTGGGACATTAGTCATCCTGCCTTAATAAAAGAATTGTCATTTTCCACTGATTTTATCGAAAGGCATAGTAGTATTAAGACACTTGAAGGGCTCGATCTCCTTACTCCAGACATCTTATGTTCTGCTATGGGATGTTATGTGCTGTTGGGTCCCAACGGACTCACAGTGGACCCTCCAGTAGGTTCACAGAAAAAGACAGCCCATCTTTCTCCTGAGGAGTGACTGGTAGATTCAAACTGCCTGCCTTGAGGTTGGAAGTATAGCTTCTTCCCCCTAGGCCACCAGAGCGCCCTTATTCCAGACAGTCTTTATCTCGATGTGAAATACCAGTTCTCTTTTCTCTGGATAATTAAGATGAACCACATCAGCTTTGACATCCTCCTTTGCCTGCTAATTCAGAGGCATGGGGAGCTCGGAACTGCCGGATAACATTCTTAACTTCCAGTTCAATGGAATCATTGCTTTGTCTATTGGTCTATTCTTTTCTTTGGAATTGTGACCTTTAGATGAACAAAGCTTAGGACTGTGGATTGTTCTTGTTATGTGCTGTTGAGTTGCCTGCGACTCATAGCGGCCCTAAGTATAACAGCCCTAAACTCTGCCCTATCCTGTGCCAATCTCACCATCTCTGACACACCTGCCCCCAATACCCCAGTCACTGAATCAATCCACCTCATAAAGGGCCTTCCCCTCCTGCGCTGTCCCTCCACCCTCCCAAGCATGACGTCCCTTTCCAAGGACTGTTCCCTCCTTGCAACATGTCCAAAGTATGTCAGACGAAGCTTCAGAATCCTTGCCTCCAAGAAGCAGCCCGGCTTCACCCTCTCCAGGACAAACCTATTTGTTTTCCTAGCAGTCCATGGTATATTCAATACTCTTCTCCAGCACCACAGCTCAAAAACATCAATTCTCTTCTATCATCCCTAGTCATTGTCCAGCTCTCTGATGTACAGCAAAGACCATGGCCTGTATCCGGCGCACCTTCATCTCCAGACTGACATCTTTGCACTTCAGCACTTTAGAGAGGTCTCTAACTACAGACTTTCCATTGTAATACGTCTTTTAATTTCCTGGCTACTGATGCCAAGAGTGTTGACTGTGGATTCAAGCAAACCAGAACTGTGAACAATCTCAATCTGTTCACCATCCAGTATGACACTGCCAATTGGCCCAGTGGTAAGAATTTTTGTTTTCTTGATATTGAGTCTCAATCCATACTGAAGACTGCAGTCCCTGACCTTCCACAGCAAGTGCTTCAGGTCCTCTTCAATTTCAGCAAGCAAAGTTGTGTCATCTGCATAACGGAGATTATTAATAGACCTTCCACCAATCCTGATGCCACAATTCTCCTTATACATAGGGTTTTCTCCTTGTACATAGGGTTTCTGAAGGCCTGCTATTTTGGAAGTGGATGTCTAATCCTTCTTCCTAATCTGTCTTAATTTGAACGCTCAGATTTAGAAAAGTATCTGACAGACAAGATTTTACAGAACAATGCAGATGAAAGATCTTTCCCAATTGTAGAAATAGCCAGTAGTTTTAGTTTTGTCCCTGCCCTTGACACGGACCCAGTATTCCCTTGTATTCCCACCTACTCCCCTTCAACACCTATCACCTGCTATATACCCCTTGATCTGACAGCTTATACCTCAAGCTTTGTGGGTTTCTGTGATTCCAAATTCATCAAGATGTTGCCGATTTCTTATGCTGTGATCAGTGTCCCTTGAGTTTAAGGGCCTGTAAGTCCAAATATATAGCTCTTATGCTAGGGAAACCTTCTTATTTCAGATGGTTCTGAAGAAAAGTCCTTTCCCTTTAATTTCTGCTCCAGGTTTAACTTCTTGTGGCTTGAGTATCTTCCCTTCCATTTACAGCACAGTGTGGTCACAAAATTTCTCAAGGGAGGGTGATCTGTGCTGTAGATCTGGGATAATGGGATGGCTTATATTTCTGTCCCTTGATTCCCATGACCATGAATTACAGATATGAGAGAAATAAACCATATAGTAGATGTTATTTTAGAACCTATTCAATGGAGACCTGGCACTGTACTTGAGTCTTCAAAACTTATTTGCTTCAACTGAAATCCTGACCTTAGGCAGCTGTGATGTGGTCGGCCGACTGATTTTGGTTCAGGAATTCACGTACAGATTAAGGTTTGGCTTGTGTGGAACAAAGCTCTGTGTCTAAATGGCCACCACCAAGTGGCAATAGGTGTTTTTCAGGGAGCTGCGAGTTTGGACAAGATACTGACTACAGTCAGAGGATGGTGTTTTCATGGGGTCTTCAGTGGACGCCAGGCCTCTGTGGTGGCTGCAAGACCCCTGGTTTTCCATGGCCACCAAGTCACTGAGCTGAGAGAGTGGAAGAGGTGGAGAAGTTAAACATCAAAACCCCCTCTGTACTCCTATTTTAGTAGTATCTCTTAGATTTGATAATTTCTAGTCCATATGGTGACTCTAGGTATTACTTCCCAGCATTTGAATGTTTTTTTTAGTTGTTTTTCCTCTATTTTGTGGTATAAGTGAAGGGGTGGGGAAGATATAGTTTGCAGGGACCCTCACCTTACCAGTCAAGAAGTTGAGCCTTTAGCATTAACATTCGTAATTATTTGAATCTCTTACTCTTCCATGTCACTGTTAATATAGCTCAACACTTTTGAAAGAAAGACATAATCTAGATTCTTTTACAACATGTTACAATGTCCATCACACAGCCAAAGGTTTCCAGACATGTGAAGAAGCAAAGACAAAATAAAAAGATCGTAAAATAGACTACCTTAAGACAGTCACATTTATCAAAACTTAAAATATACCTGATATTATTTCTTTTAATTAGCATTGAATGACTTATCAAATAAAATTTAACTTTTAAAAAAAATTAACTTTTTTATTAATTTCATACATCCTGAATGATTTTTATATCTAACAAAATTTATCAAGACCTCAGTAATCACAGTGTATTATTATTTTTTTTGCAATGCATTATTTTTGACAAAAATAATTCAGTGGAAAATTACATTTCTTACATCTTTTATATTTATCCTCAAAACAATCTGAGTAGACATTTAGCAATTCAGAGAAAATTCTACCTCCTAACTCCTACTGACTTTCTTTCCCCCCCTTTTTTTAAAATGCATCATATATTTCTATTTTATTTTATCTTAATGAAAGTTTATAGAGACTTTGGATTTTCATTCATTCATTGCAACATGTATTTTTTTTTACAGCATATTCTTCCCATTTAATTTCCCCCCATTCATTCATTGTTGCACATTTTCCTCCCTGCCCTCCACTCCTTCCCCAGTTCACTTTTCTCTTTGAAAAGAAAAAAATTCTTTTATTGTTATAACCCCCCCACCGAAGTCCACAATCCACTTTACTATGCATTTCTTTTTCTGCAATCTTGTCATAAAAATAATATCTAATCATATATTCCTTTTAAACAGTTCTCTCTCTCATCTGTTTCAATGTAGTATACATTATTTACCCCTCTTTTCTTAGGTCTCCCCCAACCCCAATGTCAGTCCTGTTTTACAACAGTGGCACTATGCAATATTTGTCCTTTTGTGACTGAGATAGTTCACTCAGCATAATGTTCTCCAGGATCACCCATTTTGTATATTTCATGAGTTCCTTATTTTTCAATGCAGCGTATCATTCCATTGTGTGAATATACCACAGCTTCTCTATCCATTCGTTTGTTGATGGGCACTTAGGTTGTTTCAAACTCTTTGTAATTGCAAACAAAGTTGCAATAAACATGTGTGACTTTCCTCTTTTGTTCTGGCAAATACAACAGTTATCTACAGTGTTGGTGTGAACTGTTGTACTTACCAAGAACCATGAACGTGTCTTCTCTGTTATGATTGTAAAGCTTCCTGATATGACACACTGGAACCAAAAAATCCACATTTGTTAGTATCATTCATTATGCTTACTTACAAACTCAAGGAGTAGAGAGTGTGAAAAGCTGTAACATGTAGTATTTAGCCTCACCTACGGATTGACACAGTGGTTGTAACAGTTGCTTGAGCGTGTCAGAGATTGTGAGGAAGACACAAAATAGGACAAAGTTCAACTCTGTTGCTTATAGGGTCATGGTGAGGTATTGTCACAGTTGACTTGGTGACACTTAACTACAACAACAACAACATTGAAAACATCATCCAGAAAGTAATTCAAGAGATCACTATTGTCACACATTCATTGGGAACGAAATCTAGAGGCATTTTGTAGTGACTTCACAGGGAAACAGCATTATCAAAAAGTTTACTTGATTTGTCAAACTTGGGTGTGTTTGGTTTTGGTGTTGTTTTGTTTTGTTTTACATTAGGCCTTTAAGAAGATACGCCCAATTTGTGAGTTTATTACTAGATCAACTTATAACCTAACTAATTTCACAAGCAAAATACTTTTACTATAATCTTAAACACAATTTGTTCAAATTGTCTTCCTGTCAAACATTCTTCTAGGTGGTATAGCACTGGTCTGTGCGTTGCTGTACAGAGGTAACTCGTGGTTGCTGTGATGCTGAAGCCTGTGACAGTGATGTGCCAATCGTGGTAATGGGCACCCATGGTGGACAGTGTTGGCTGGAGCTTCCCGACTAAATCAAGCCTGGAAGCAGGAGCGGCATCCACTTCCGAAATGGCTTGCCTCTGGAAACTCTATGTACGAACAGTGCTCAGGCTGTTCATTCATAGGGTTGCTATGAGTTGTCTATGACTCGACGGCATTAAACAACAACAACAAATAATCTTAAAAGTATTTTATAATAGAAAACATTATTCAGAAGTACCCAAAGTCCAATTTGCATATTAAATAAAAGAATCACACGATTTCTTCCAGGATTACCCTATTCTCAGACTGCCCATCATTTCCTGAGACTTATTGGAATAATGATGGTTGTGGTTGTGTGTCTTTGAGTTAGAACCGGCTCGTAGCTGACCCTTCAGTGTGTTTCCAGAGGCAGTTATTGCACAGGAGGAGAACACTCATCCTTCTCATTTCTCCCAGAATGATGGTAGTTCCAGTGCATTTGAAAGTTCATGTTAGAAAAACATTCCTAGAACATTAAAATGTGAACTCTTCAAGTAATAACAAGGCTATTCTTTTCTAAGAATCAGGGCACTGACAAGTCAATACTAAATTGTTTTTCTGAGACAGAAGAATCCTAATTTGATGTTTTTGCTCTTTCCGTGTGACTTGAGACAATTAATCCACCATTAAGCATTTTTCTCACTGGTGAAGTGGGACTTAATATTTCTTACCTTGTATCACTGTATTATTTTGAAAGTTCCTACATAATTTATGGCCAGCTTGGTTTTACTACTTTCCTCCAAGAGTAGAGCCTATGTTTTACTGAGTTCCTTTCCTTGTAAGATTTCTAGTTACAAATCTTTGACAGAAGAGAAGCAGAAAACATGACTCTCACCAAGTCATTATACACAGACATGGCAACAGTGGTCTAATCTTTTATTCTCTCTTCTATTTTTAGCTCATTGTCCAGAGGTAGCAATTTCTAGACTTATTCATGACTGTCCCTTTGCAATTTAGCTCTGGTGCCCAGGCATCCATGGCTTCTGGGATTGAAAGGAAACATCCAACCTGCCAACCCATGCCAATGCCCCAAGCGAGAGGAGAATCTTATTTTTGGTTTCAGTATATCATATGACTCTGAGAGCTGGACAGAAGAATTGAAGCCTTTGAACTGCAGTACTGGAGACAAGTATTGAATATTCCATGGGCTACTAAAATAACCGACAGATGTGTATTGTGAAAAAGTACAGTCAGAGTGCTCCTTGGAGGCAAAGATGAGAAGCTTCATCTCACACACTCTGGGTATGTTTCTTTGTTTTTTTATGTGTGTACCGTCAAATTGGATCTGACTGGTACAGGAGGCGATTGCTCCTCCTTCTTCAGCAGAGCATCTGGTGGATTTGAACCGCCCACCTCTGGGATTGCAGTGCAGTGTCCTGCCACTAGGCCACCAAAGCTTGCCTCTGGGTATGTTTCTGTTGTGGTTAGGTGCCACTGAGTTGAGTATAACTCATAGCGACCTTATGAACAAAAAAATCTGAATCTTCTTCTAGCCTGTGTTATCCTTATCATCTGAGACCCACGTAAGCTCACTGCTGCACTGTGTTTACCCATCTCATTGAAGGTCTTTTCTTTCACTGACCCTCTACCTTTCCAAACATGATATCCTTATCCAAGGAACAGTCTTTCCCAGCAACATGCCTAAATTATGTAAGATGAGGCTTCACCATCCTTACGTCCAAAAGCACTCTGACTGTACTTTTCCCAAGACATTCCTGTTTTTTCAGATCTGTTTCAATTCTTTCTCCAACTATTCTGATGTTGCTTATCAGTCCAGAGGTAAGGATTTTTTGTCTTCTTGAGGTTGAGATGCAATTTGTATTGAAGGTTATAGTCTTTGATCTGCAGTAAGAGTTTCAAGTCCTGCTCCCTTTCGGCAAGTGAGGTTGTGTCATCTGTATAACGTAGGTTGTTGATGAATCTTCCTTTGATCCTGATTCCACATTACTCTTCATAGAGGCCAGCTTCTTGAACGATGTGCTCAGCATACAAAATGTATAGGTATGGAGAAAAGATTCATCCTTGACGCACACCCTTCTCAATTTTAAACCATGCAGTGTTACCTAGCTCTGTTCAGGTAATAGCTTCGTAATCTAGGTATAGGTATCTTCTCAATGATAGCCATTATTTATTATGATCCACACAGTCAAATGCCTTTGCATAGTCAACAAAACACAGACAGTCTTCTAATATTCTCTGCTCTCACCCAGGATCCATCTGACAGCAGCAGTGGTATCTCTATTGTCTTAGCCTCTTCTTAAAGCAACTTGAACTTCTAACAATCCTCCATCTCAACAATTTACTAATACTGTGTTGTCAAGGCCTACCTTGGCCGTCCGAATTCTCATTGCCGCTTTCCCAGAAATTCCAATTCCCCTTCCTCTACTTTTTATCCTACAGTATTTGTTTCTAGCATATCCCACTGCTGGAATGAAAGCTACATAAGAGCCCCATCAACTGTTGTTGCCAAGTTGGTTTTGACTCCTGGTGAACTTCTATTGAGTTTCAGAGGCTGTTATTATTTTTCTCTTGTTTTGTTTTTTTTAAAATAAAGTTTTTATTATATATTTGTTTACTTACACAAAGTTCATAGACATTGTTTTTGACACTGGATCTTTTCCATTTCCTTAACTCACCCTTCCCTCTACCCATCAAATAATGTGACCCTATGATGACCCCACTTGCCATCCTCATCCCTCTGCTCTTAACCTCTCTCCTTTTGATCCTCATAAACATTCTACTAGTCATCTTTC